AGTTTGCGAGCCTCCCTGCTCTTCAATTCGCTACATCACAGAAGAACGCACGTTAACGCAAATGTAAAACTATTCTAACATTCATGGAATATTCTGAGGAAATTACAATGTTTTCTTACCTTAGATCCAACTTCTTTAAACTACCACAAGACCTGCTCTTTTTCAATAGCAGATCTGAGCTCAGTTTTTGATCAGGAACTTTCTCTTTCGTTTGCAGGTTTTATGGAGCTTGTTGGAGAAAAATCCCGACACTCTTTACACGAGAACATGCATCTCATTTCAACTCCTCTACAGGTTATTTGGGGGAAAAATGACCAGGTATGGAAACAAATATAGTGATATGATGTTTGTAAAAAAAAAAGAGAGAGAGAGAGAGTGAGATTTGGATCACACCTGAGACATTCATGCCCGAATATTCAGTTCAATTTAAGTTCATTTGTATAGTGGTTTTCCCAATAATGATTGTTTCAAAGAAGCTTTACAAAAGCTGCACATTATTGCATTACTATCAAAGTCAGAGAAGTGACGGTTATAGTTACCATAACTTTGTTAGTTACTAATAACTTTAACTAATTAACTAGTAGCTAACAGCTTTAAACAGTTAAATTTAATATATATATATATATATATATATATATATATATATATATATATATATATATATATATATATATTAGGGATGTAACGGTATTGTAAATACCGTCATACCGCAATATTAATTTTTTTCGATATTACCGTAGTCGCATGACTCGGTAAAACTATAGGTCTTCTGAGAAAATTTGCTCAGGCGAATGAAGCGAACGGGAGGTAGCGAAAACTACAATTCCCATCAGCCCATGCTTGACCATCATCCCTTGCGGTCTGTTGTCGCTACAGATCCAGTAATGCGGAAATGGAGTGTGCTGCTAGAAGCGGGGATGAAAAAGAGCTGGAAAACTCTAAAGCGGGTGTTGTCGCCGCGCGCGTACTGAATAGTGGTGTTGTCGCGCGAGTTCTTATCAGCTGTGTTGTCGCGCGCGTACTGAATAGCGGTGTTGTCAGCACACTGTTCAGATTGATGCAGACATGAGATCTCTATCTCACTCATGGTTTGTCCTCTCAAGTGGGGGAAAGACAATGCACAACGTTACCCACTGCTGTCAACCTGGGCCAAGTCATATCTCTCTTGTCCCAGAAACCTCAGTCCCAAATGAGAGTTTTTTTTTTCTGTTGCAGGGGACTTTGTAAATACCCAGAGATACCAGCTTTACCAGATTATAGTTATATGATCATTTTCCTTTAAACCCATCTCTATCTAAGTGAGTGAGTGAGTGAGTGATTAAATGTTGAATGTGATGAGTTTTCAACAATACTAAATTGAAACTTTATTTTTTTTACATGGTTTAATATTTTTTTGTTATTAAAATTGAAGTTCCTGTTTCAAAGCTTACAGATAGATGACTAATTTGTATGTCATTGACACTTTTGGCACTTTTTTGGAGTATTTTCATAACTTTTGTTTTTTCCTGTAAATGATTCAATAAATACCGTACCCTGACATTCATACCGAGGTATTACCGTACCGTGAAATTCTGATACCGTTACATCCCTAATATATATATATATATATATATATATATATATATATATATATATATATATATATATATATATAAACCTGCAGTTATTAAGTATATACACTTGAAGTCAAAATTATTCGCCTTCCTGTAGTTTTTTTTCTTTTAAAATATTTACCAAATGATGTTTAACAGAGTAGGCATTTTTCACAGTATTTCTTAACACAGGCTCATTCTGAAAGCGTAACCCTGTATACATTTCTAGAGAACGCGAATTATGTAGCCAGAAGTACATATGGCTGCATTTCGTCTTTGAAACGAACACTACGCGGCGGGTGGTATGATTTCGTTCCTTTTCGCGCTTACCACCTGCCCGCTTACCTCCGTATGGACGCTCACCATATACGTCGGCGGACTTGAGAGGCAGAGTGGAGTTCACTGCTACGACGGGGTTTGAGTCTGGCGAAGAACGGTTCCAGAAAGCAGGTGCAAAGAAAACAAAAGCCAAAATAAAATAAGCAAGTAAATAACAGGGTGAGAATGTGGTAAAATCTGAAAATGTGGTTCAGGGGAGGGCTTTTGGAAAACTGTTGGTTGGGTTTAGGGTAGAGGGTGGGCGCTGGTCAATCGCTGCTTTTGAAAACACCATCAGTTGGAGCACGGTCGGTCAGTCAGTCAGTCAGTCAGTCAGTCGACAGCAGCCTCTGGTGGATTTAGGCGAGAACAGCAGACGCGAATAAAACTTGTGAGAGATACTTGAGATCTGAAAAAGTGTACACAGCGGCCTCTGGTGGATTCACAAAAATGAAAACTGCAAAAAAAAAAAAAAAAAACGTAGCTCCTGGGATCTATTTGGCGCTCTCCAGAAATGTATAAAGGGGTAAGTATTCAGACTGGGCCTGGGTTGGTATTTCCTATAATGTTTTATTTTATTGTTTGTTTTATTTTGGCTAGAGTAAGTTTGTAATTAGTTTTAATCAATATTATTAGCCTCTTTAAGCCCAACCCTAACCCTAATATTTGTTTTGGATAGTCTACAGAAAAAACCACTGTTATACAATGACTTGCATAATTACCCTAACTTTACCCTAATTAAGCCTTTAAATGTCACTTTCAGCTGTATAGAAGTATATAGTCTCGTGGTATATCTAGTCCAATATTATGTCATCGTGGCTATAATGGCAAATTATCCTGTGTTCAAAATTTCCTTTGCTCATCCTATGTGGTGGTAACTGGGGAATCTTTTGACGCCTGGTTGAGAGTAAACAAAAAAGGCCAAGAGATGATGTAGATGATCAAAAAAGGAGGAACGGGTTTAATGGTTCAAGAGAAACAAACAAAAAAAAAACAACAATAATAGATCATTATTTTGATGAATGTACAATCATAAATTGGACTGGAAAACAAACAGAACGGCTCACGGTCAAAAAGCTGCGCAATCCCAGTCAGCCACACCTCCGACCAGTCACCTTCATCTTTATAGAACTGTTGACCTGCAGGGGGCACAAACTCTCTCTCTCTCTCTCTCTCTCTCTCTCTCTTTCGAAAAGAAAGAAAAGACAATAAATAAATAAATAAATACATTATTACAAAATTAATCAAAAATATATAAAAACCTCCTTCATAACCGGCCCCTAATTGTATTTGCAAACAAAAACAATTACTAAATTATACAAAATAGGAGCGTTAAATTTATAATTTGTAATGCAATCGAATAACTTATTTAATAAATATTAAATAAAGACAATATACAACCTTTCATGTTTTGTTCTATGGTCCATCATCATTACCATCCAGCATCAAACATTTCAGTGACAATTTTCGGTCATATATTCCAAATCAGCTTGAAAGGCCGGCACTACAGTATTTTCAGTATCAGACATCTTATTAAATTGAAAACTGCTTTATATTCTCTCTCAAAAATGTCTTTTCGTAAATAGTTTATCAAAAAAAAAAAAACGCATTCCTCGAGTTTTGTTTTTAACAACATATGCACCCGACAAGTGCTTTATATTCCTCCAAAAATTATTACGACTTAATATTTGCGATATTTGAGTCAAAAATCAGTCCAAAATTTAATTATAATTTTCATCTAACGAATAAATCGAATAATTGATTAATATTAATTATTAATTAATTATTATTATTTCAAAGGATTAATAATCCTTTGCTCCCGTAGCTTAAACAGTTATAAATGTAGAAGCCGCTTAATGGAACGTCGGCGTTGTTTGCACGTGTGTCGGCCTTCCTTTCCTTTTGCAAACATCCAAGTAGTCCTAAAATCCCACAGTGATCCTGCGTTCAAAATGTCCTTTGCTCATCCTATGTGGTGGTAACTGGGGAATCTTTTGACGCCTGGTTGAAAGTAAACAAAAAAGGCCAAGAGATGATGTAGATGATCAAAAAAGGAGGAACGGGTTTAATGGTTCAAGAGAAACAAACAAAAAAAACAATAATAGATCATTATTTAGATGAATGTACAATCATAAATTGGACTGGAAAACAAACAGAACGGCTCACGGTCAAAAAGCTGTGCAATCCCAGTCAGCCACACATCCAACCAGTCACCTTCATCTTTATAGAACTGTTGACCTGCAGGGGGCACAAACTCTCTCTCTCTCTCTCTCTCTCTCTCTCTCTCTCTCTCTCTCTCTCTCTCTCTCTCTCTCTCTCTCTCTCTCTCTCTTTCGAAAAGAAAGAAAAGACAAGAAATAAATAAATACATTATTACAGAATAGAGCAAAAAGAAAAAAAGAAAATAGAAATCAGTCATTAGAAATAAGTTATTAAAACTGTTATGTTTAGAAATGTCGTTTTACAAATTTCTGTAAAAGAGAAATTGGGGGAAAAAATACAGGGGGGCTAATAATTCTAACTTTAACTGTAGGTGATGTCTATGTGTACATGTTCAATAAAGTGTATTTGTGTATTAAGTGTATATGTTGTCCTCAAAGTCTACGATAGTCAACATAATCTCTTCACAAATATGTTCGCATCGGTTCAGTTAAGAGCTGCAATATAAAAATATGCTTGTGGTTTAAAGGCTTAATATTATAATCTACAGGTTTTAGACGTGTCTGGAGCTTCAGTTTTGTCTGGAGCCGTTCCCGGATGCCAGGTTCATCTACTAGACAACTGTGGGCACTCGGTAGTGTTGGAGCGGCCTAGAAAATCTGCCCAGCTCATCACAGACTTCATCATCGCACAACAGAACGCAGGAATCAACAGCAACAAGAAACTCTCCTAAAACAGGACGCTATACCTGCTTAAAACAGGTCTAAGTGGTTGGTTAAAGCTGCAAACATAAAGGTTGTTCAGGAACAAATAGGAAAGTTGCCCAAACCTGATTTCACCAAGTAGGACATGTTCCTGGATTATCATCTATGTTGATCCTGGAACAACATTCCAGTCAGCCAATCGGAATTAAAAGATACGTTCACAGTTTATGTAAAGGTTAGGCTTTCGGTTTATGCACTTCTACATGTTATCCAAGTATTATTTCCCTCTTATTTTGTGAGTAGTCGGTAGGGGTAGGGAATAGGTATGGTTTACATATGGATTATGTATGGATTACAATGCGATCCTGGATCAACATCTATGTTGATCATGGAGTATCATTTTTGTTTGGAAAATGTAATCCATTCCAATACCCTAGCCCTAAACTCAACCATAACTGTGCATAAATCTAACCGTAAGCCTAAATTTACCATAAACAGTAACATATCCCCTAATCCTGCTTGGCTGATTGGAATGTTGTTCCAGGATCAACATCGATGATAATCCAGGGGTCCGTTCTCCGTACGTGGATTACTCAATTAGCTGGATTTGGGTGTTGACGATTTGACATGATCCAGGATCGTTTCGTTCTTCAAAACATATCTAAGACTTGTCATAGCAACAGTTCTGGTAGCTCAAACCTGCGTAGGAGCAGGCTCATTTCATATAAACAGGATTAGATGGGGTTAATTTAAGCAAAGATAATGCTGAAACTATATACCAAATGCTGATATTTTCTTACAGTAGTAGTTATATACACTTAGAAAATAGTATATATATATATATATATATATATATATATATATACATACAAGTGTGTGTGTATGTGTGTGTATGTGTGTGTGTGTGTGTGTGTGTGTGTGTGTATATACATATATATTTTTTGACTGTATATATATATATATATATATATATATATATATGAAGTAAAAAATATATATTAATATATTAAATAATATATTAATAAAATGCAATTTGCACTCCGAAATAAAAGTAAAAGACTGCCACCTGGTAGTTCAAAGAGAAGATGAACTATTGAACTGATATGAACTGTTTAGATGCAAACGCATACATGCACAATATAAAATTTAAAAAAAAAGGATAATAATTTATGCAGTCTAGCACGTGTTTTGATCACTAATATGCCAGTGATACCTTTACCGATATCAAAATTCTTTTTTGAAGCAAAATTAATTTATACAGCTATTCCTTGTGCCAATTAAAAAACTTAAGTAGACCTTAAGGCTACTATAATAAAGAAAATCTTCTCTTAATGTAGAGCTAAATACATTGATATGCATTGAAATACATGATGAATACTCTTGACACATGAACATGTACAGCCTGCTGCTCACAACAAATGTAAGAAGTGCGTGTCATATTTAACAAGCTGTTTACTGCTTGTTTAATGTAATTTAGCTCTCATGATTAATTAAATATTAATAAGATGATGTCATTACGCTGCTGTGCCGTCAGCCAATCGTTGCATAGCTGATCATGATTTCAAGGATGGATAGATCTGTCCTTCACAACACACGCAGCGATCTCAGATCAGTTTATCCAGATATTTTAATCTGATTCGCGAACTTGTTTGAAGAACCAAATTAGCCTGAGATCAGTTATCAAGATGAACAGATCCAGGATCTGACAAATCATCTTAGATCATTTAAGCGAGGTTCGGACCCCAGGATCACATTGTACTTGGTAAAATATGGGCCATCACAAGGGCTTTTCACACTTGAACTAGTTAACCGTGGGTTGTTGTAAACTCCAGGTAAACATACTTCACATTTTCACAGTGCTCATAGGATTAACATAACCTGACATGTACTCTTTACATTCCCACTGAAAAAGATTGATTGAATTTACCCAATTTTTCAAAGGTAAGTAGTTGCAAAATGCATTTAAACAAACAAATTAAATTTAGTAATGTTCAACTTTGTTTAAATTCAGCCCATATCAATAGTTTGCAACCACTTACCTTAGAAAATGTAGTGAAACCAATGAATCATTTATTTTTCAGTACATTAATTCTAGGTTAACAATATTATTTGCATATTTGCTATCTCAATGTCATTGATTGGATGAACACAGCACACAAAATCACAACACAGGCTCATTGTAGATATGTATCCCTGTCTGCATTTCTGGAGATCGTGAAATGTGTACCCAGAGGTACGTCTGACTCCATTTCGTCTAGAAAACTAACAAAGTAGGCTGGTAAGATGCTGCAGACTGCCTCTCCTCTTTTTCGCGGTATTGCTGACCGCTTATCTTCGTGTGGACGGCTTTTCTGGTGTTACCAGTTTGCCCAGTAGCTCGCCATGTATGTTGGCGGACTTGGGATGCAAAGCGGAGTTGACCGCAACGATGGGGTTGGAGTCTATCGAAGAACCATTCCAGAAAGCAGGTAAAATAATAAAATAAATAAACAACAGGCTGAAAACGGGGTAAAAATCTGACGGCTGGGATGCCTTTTCATTTTCTACATTGCTTTTGAAAACACTATCGGTTGGGTTTAGGGATGATGGCTGGGTTTGAAGTCCATAGACAACAAGCTGGCCTGGTCGGTTAAAATATATAGCGCCCTCTGGTGGATTTACGCGAGGAGAGGACAAAAGTTTGAGATAATCAAAAAGCGTACACAGCGGCCTCTGGTGGATTTAGCCTGCAGCTAGCTCTCTGCAACTCTCACATGGTCGCCCATTGAAGCTAAGCAGGGCTGCGCTTGGTCAGTTCCTGGATGGGAGACCACATGGGAAAGCTAGGTAGCTGCCGGAAGTGGTGATAGTGAGGACAACAGGGAGTGCTTAACCTGTGGTCTGTGTGGGTCCTAATGCCCCAATATAATGATGGGGACTCTATATTTCAGATGAGATGTTAAACCGAGTCTTTAAAAACCCCAGGATGTCCTTCAAAAAAGAGTAGGGGTTTAACCCTTGCCCACTGGCCCTCATCATGGCCTCCTAACCATCACCATATCATTATTGACTTCACTACTCTGTCTCCTCTCCACCAATCAGCTGGTGTGTGGTGTGCGGTCTGGCTGCCCTCTGGTGGTGGATGAGGAGATTACCTCATTGTGTAAACGCACTTTGAGTGTCTAGGAATTATTATTGTTTGCAAAAACTGCAAGCAGACATACCTCCGGTTATGTATTTTGCTGTCTCCAAAAATATAGACCTGTGTACATATCCGCAATGAGCCTGGGTTGCATAATAATCTTTAAATTTGATCACACAACGCTATATTTTTACAGAGTAACCAAATTTAAAAGTGAAAATGCAACGTTTCTAGTCCGATCACATTTTCTGTCACTATTTTTTTTTTATGTAGCCATAAATTCACATCATTTCACACTGCACAACTTTGATGCAACATCGGTGCTAACCCTACTCCAGAAAATAAGATGCTGATGCTATTTCTACAAATGTGAAGGATTATTTTACTCCAGGTATAAAAGGACAGACTGACAGTAACCTGTGATTAATGGCTCGTTTCCACTAATCACTTCTTTGCAATTAAATTCCTCTCTAATCATTACAAACTATATATTGTTGGAAAAGTCTATCACTTCTGAATACATATTTTACCACAGTTGTTTCTGCTATGGACGAGTAACAGATTTAAACATATTTACTCTCTTCCGACAACCTGTGCAGTCATTTACAGTTGTATATCTAAACATAATGGACAATCTATATATCACTTGAAATCTTATAATTTCTAGTTTCCATATTTACCGGCTGATGGTTGATATACACTCACTGGCCACTTTATTAGGTACACCTTACTAGTACCGGGTTGGACCCCCCTTTTGCCTTCATAACTGCCTTAATCCTTCATGGCATGGATTCAACAAGCTACTGGAAAATTCCTCAGAGACTTTGCTCCATTTTGACATGATAGCATCACACAGTTGCTGCAGATTCATCCATGATGCGAATCTCCCGTTCCACCACATCCCAAAGGTGCTCTATTGGATTGAGATCTGGTGACTGTGGAGGCCATTTGAGTACAGTGAACTCATTGTCATGTTCAAGAAACCAGTTTAAGATGATTCACGCTTTATGACAATGTGCTGGAAGTAGCCATCAGAAGATGGAGACACTGTGCTCATAAAGAGATGGACATGGTCAGCAACAATACTCAGGTAGGCTGTGGTGTTGACATGATGCTCAATTGGTACTAATGGACCCAAAGTGTGCCAAGAAAGTCTCCCCCATGTCTTTACACCATCACCAGCAACGGTTGATACAAGGCAGGACGGATCCATGCTTTCATGTTGTTGAAGCCAAATTCTGACCATCCGAATGTTGCAGCGGAAATCGAGACTCATCAGACCAGAAAGTTTCTCCAATCTTCCATACCGATTAGAAATTTGCGAGCAGTTGGACAGGTGTACCTAATAAAGTGGCCAGTGAGTGTATGTTACTGAGCAATATATTTTTCAAAAAATCTTCTGGCTGTGTTTGAGAGAAAAAAACTGAAACTTATGAAGGTTTGAAACAAGTGCAGTGAGTAAATGATGACAGAATTTACATTTATTTGGGTGAACTATTCCTTTGAACGGACTTTTAGATTGACGATAACCCAGGGTTCAGTGCAGTGTGAAAAGCCATATATTTAAAAGGAACAATATGTCATTTTAAACGATGTAAATAATCAGTAAAGGTTATTTTTGTAGTGAACGCTCAGGGACGCACACTAACCGCTGAGCTGAAAAGCACTTCAGAAACTATGCAGACACAAATCAGTGTCCTGCAGATAGCGTTGATCTCAGTTCATCATAGAATTGACCAAAAATGATGGTTAATATTTCTGATTTTCACTCTGACATTATTATTCAGACAACATTTCAGGATATTAATCAGTAAAATGTCCTGAAATGTGGTCTGCCTTTAGGAAAAATTCTGTATGTCTTTCTTATTTGTTGTTATTATTGATTATCATCTCGTGTTCCATCACTTTTACATTATTTTAGTAATTTTTTGACGTCATTTGGGTTTAAATCATCTTAATAGATTATATAGAGTTATTAGAGATCAGCTTGTACTGTTTTAAACCTCAGATATGAGACTCTGTGTCTTGAAAGTGTTTTTGGGAATTATGCAAACAAATATTTCATAACTTAGTGGTTAAATCTGGTTAATAAAACAGTTTTAAAC